CAAAAAGCCCAAATTAATTTTGTCAGGCCAATGCATTTAAAAAAAAGGCCACATTTGCGAAAATTTTGCCTTAAAAAGGCCCATCTGGCAATACTGGGCCCCCCGACCCTGGCCTCTCAACCTGGACCCTGGTCTCTCAATCTCGACCCTGGTCTATCAATCTTGACCCTAGCTTCTCAATCTCGACCCTGGCCTCAACCTGGACTTTGGTCTCTCAGCCTCCACCACAGCCTCTCAAAATGGACTCCGGCCTCACAGCCTGGACCCTGGCCTTTCAGCCTTAACCCTGACCTCTCAACCTGGACACTGGCCTTTCCGCCTAGACATTGGCCTCATAACCTTGGCCCTGGCGTCTTTGGCCCAACATCATGGATGTTAGGAAAACACAAAATTTATTTGAAAATTTTAATCTCAAAAGACTCGACTAAGGCATTTTTACTAAAATACTGGAGTTTCTTGCAAGTTTCTTGGAATTCTTATTATTGCTAGCAAAAGTAATGTATACAATGATAATTAACTACAGTATAATATAATATAGCTATATAATATCATCCATATTTTGCGCTCAAGATTAAATGGATCATATGGTCGCGTTTAATGTTGGGGGTCTCGTAAGACCAAGTGGGCTGAAATGTCGCCTCACATTTTTTTAATACACAACATTCAATGTTCCATAATCATCTATACACTACTTAGTGACCGTAATCGCTAGTAATTATAATAAAAAAATTTTTACATGCTTTAAAAAATGTGGTCGTTGAAGGGTTAACAAAGTTTTCTCGTGGAAAAAAACTCCAATGTGACTGATATTATAGTTGACTCTTCACAACACAAAACAGTAACAAGTGTTTTTTTAATCAAATAATGTGCTTCCAGATGGATAATATTGAATATCAGATTTGTACTTTCATTGAAAAAACGTTGTAACATAAGAATTACCATTTGCTCCTGAGTCCTGTCTTACCCCAGCCTGGTCCCATCTTACCCCAATGGAGTAAGATGGGACCAGCTCACTTTTTTTAATCTGTACAGAAAAATGTGTTAGATGCAAAATGTCTGAGTTTTAGCTTAGAAGCCCATTGCATTAATACACCTTGTGATAGGTTTAGGGTTTTTTAGTTATTCTTGGTATAGATGCTACAGGCTTTTTAGTGATTTCTGTCCTTTTTACCCCATCTAAATATATATCTCCATTAACCAGATCATCCACGTCCGATGTTCGTACTTGATGCAGCAATGGGCCTATTTCTTCAATGCCGACACTTCTATTCTATTCTAATGCACTCCTTAACTTTTCGCTGGACTCATTCTTCAAGAAATCCAACCGTGCGGCATTTAGATTATCGGCAAACATTGCATATAGTGTCCGGTTTTCAAAAAGCCTTTCGTCATACACGCTGGGAAAAGATGGGTTCGTACCAATAACCAGCTAGTTTGGCGAGTATCCATGATAGTTCAGCAGTAAATTCCGAGCAGAGACGGCCAAGGACAAAGCTACACTTAGTTCACATTGAGTGTCATCGAGAATCTTCTGCACGCTAAGGCCCAGGCCTGTATACAATTGAGACGCTCGCAAATCCCATTACTCCATGGAGCCTCAGCAGGGGTGCATACCAACTTTATGGCAAAACTATCAACAATGGCGTGTTTACTTTTGTCAAAATCCGTCAAAATAGTCTCTGCTTCTCATCCTTTCTCCACTGATCATAAGCTCCATTTTCTTTAAACACAGGAGAAACATAGTAGTAACGGCTCTCGCTGAAGCCATTTCGCACGCTCTGCTGCAAATTGTTAATAACACACGCTCGGAAGATGCTCACCCTTTCGTGGTTCACGCGAGACTTTTGTCCCAACTCCCAACAGCATTGCCACCAACTTGCATCACGTTACAGCCAGCCCACGCCTCGTAGGCTACCGGCGCTCCCTGAACCTATCAGCGCGCAGCACAAAGCCATCTCACGACCGAACAAGTGTAACCGGCAACACCAACAGACCAATCAGATATTAACAAAACGAAAAGATGGGATCGAATAAAACGACTAAGCTCTAGATTCATAGGATCTACGAAATAGTTCCGTCTTTAGGCGTCGACGAACACCTGCAACGAAGGTGTCCGGTGTCAATCTGGCGTCTCATTATAATTATACGTAATTTTCACTTGACCTGATAGAGATTGATGACAAGAGTCAACATCTGGAAGACATGTGATAGATCACGATATCAAGACCTTAGTGGTGGGCGGAAGCGAATGCTATATAAAGGCTAGCAACCTACCAAAGTAAGCAAACATCCCCCCGCAGTAGTTGATAAGCGCTAAGCGATGTATCGTGTCGGTAGAGTTCTCCGACCTTACGGTCGACGACGTGGCTTATACCTCTGTATCGTTCTCCTGTTTAACCACCCCGTATATAAGATATGTTATCAGACACACGAGTCTTATTTATCCTCCACGATCTTAGTCACTTAACCCGATTCTCAGGTCGAGCATAATATATGACATAATATGAGCTCTGACAAGTAGCGCCCGAACAAAGGAGTCGAACTTACAGAAGTCGGCAGACTGTTAAAGGTTCTGGCGGCGGCGACCGGGAACGCTCAGTCGCCGACGGTAGATCCTTGAACTGCGAGCGCTGCTGAATGCGTAGCCAGATTGTTCCAGGTTCTGGCGGCGGCGACCGATAACGCTCAGTCGCCGACGGTAGATAGACGTGTAGATGGTACGACGAGGTCCGCTGTTGATGACGAGTGCAATCATTTTCTAGAAGGCAGACCCGACAGGCGCTGCAGACCTTCCGTGAGATAATGAGGCGCCAGACCGTGAAGGCATCGAAACGTAAGAACAGCGACCTTAAACTGCGTGCGCTGCTGAATGCGTAGCCAGTAAATATCACTCAATATCGGCGAAATATGGTCGAATTTTCGCTTATTGCACACGAGTCGAGCAGCAGCGTTCATTACGGGTTGCAGTTTATCAAGTGCTGTGGTGGGAAGTCCATAATGTGTGGCATTACCCAGTCTGGTCAGAACGAGCGCCATCACAAGGGCCTCAAGTACCGGCCTCGAAAAACTGCGGCTGATGCTACGTATTCGTCGCAGATCGCTAAAGCAAGCAGTTGTGACTTTGGCAATGTGTCTGTTCATTGAAAGTTCCGAGTCCAGCAGAATGCCCAGGTTGAGAGCTGCGGATGCAGGCATGACGAACTTGTTGCCCACGCGAGCAGGGTTGGCCGGAAACTGATGCTGGCGCCGAGCAGCCGCATACCAAATAAAGTCGGTTTTTGATGCATTGAGCTGGAGCCGGTTAGAGCACATCCAGTCTGAGACAGCGTCCATGCAGATAGACATTCAATCCTGCAACGCTGCGGCGTCAGCCGGTCCACCGTAGCCATAAATTTGGGTGTCGTCGGCGAACATATGCGGATTCAAACTATGTCAATATATTATATGCAATACGTTTTAGAGCGTGACTGGCAGATTTAGACTTGCAGGATTGTTCATGAGTAGTTTAAGATCATTTGCACGGAGATCGAATAAATTCTAATCTATTCACATGAAAAATTTGTCATTTACAAATAGATTATTCAAACCCCATGTAAGCCTGTGATCCATTTAGGAAAGTTTTTATGCCCATCTTCGAACATGCAACTTGTACCAGACCACATGGTGAGTAGGTACTCAAATGAACATAAAAATAAATTTCATATTGTAATTGTCAGGAAATTAATTGCATGAATAAAGTAGGTAATATTGAACATGGGTAACATTAAACATGTATTATGCGTTGGTGTTAAGAATGTTAAGAATGCGGATAGAAGCGATGTAGCAAGTGTGTAAGACGTGGTTGTTCTCGAGACCGTGAGAGCGAGGGTTGTTTATAGTTGGAATGGCGAGGGCATCAAACGGCTGACCCTTGCGGATTTCAAAACTGTCGCGGCGTCACTTCGAGGGAGTAGGCGTAACGGTGCGCGACGGCTGCGTATAAAAGGACCTTAAAATTGGCACCAAAGGCTGTTCTACGGAGGTGACCGTCACGCAGGCGCGGTCTGCAGTCAGCGGACTTTGTAACGGCCGCGGACGTGAGGCCGGCGGTGTTGCCGTTTTCGAACATTGACGGTCGCGAGATACCTAGACCCATCAAGGCAGCTACGATTTCTGTAAGCGCGTCTAAAATCAACAAAGTACGGTCGACATCAACGGTACGGCTGCTACTCGGCCGTGAGGCAATGCGAGAGGGCCACGAGTTGTACAACTATTATAACGCCCGTCATCAGAAGATTCAAGTTTTCGAGCGCGGCGCAAGAATTATCATCGGGACGGTCATCAGCATAATACCGTCACTAATTTCATCAGAAGAAGCGGTACGATCACAGTTATCTTCGACCGCAGTACGGCAACGAGCTTGGAGTATTATCATCGACTAGGAAGACGAACACCACTATTCCGAAGTATGGTCATCATAAATTCTACGGTTAGACCGGTCGCGATACCTCACTATAGCGCGGGAAATACGGCCATGAAGAGAGAGCAACTGTGAAAGTGGACTCGAGAATACAGCAGCGGTACGGCCGCTGAACATACGGCCGCAAACGTGTGCGCAAGTTACGGTCGTTTACAACAGTCGTACGGCTCAACGGAACTGCAACGTTCTGGTAAAATTAAATGATTTTAATGATGTAAACTGATGGGTTTTTGGACTTTTGATTGTGTTCAGATTACCCTTGTCAAGTACTAAAAAATTTTGTAAACGTAGGATGCGAACTTGAATTTTTTCAACTTAACATGAAATGTATCATGTTTCATTACAACCCTCTCTTTGTACTATGTTTTTTTTGCCGTAAATCCATCCATACGAGAACTTTGTCATGTGCCTTTTAAACCACTGCGGACCAATCTGACGAAATTAAAGCGATTGCCGATAATATAAAAGTAATGATAAAACGAGAAAATCTCAAAACTAACTTAACATAAAATAAACTCCCTATTTAATCATGCAAATTTACCTTCATGCAAGTGATAACTTCAAAGCGAGTCTTGATGTTGGTTGTGGTGCTATTGAGGGTCATGGTATCAGTGGCGGTGATGGGCTGATACTTGATGGTCGTCCCTACAGTGCTGCCAGTACCTGCTCAGGAATAAACACTAGTCAAAGATCTCAGAAGTTTTGGAGGAGCAAATTTGTAAGCTCGGACAGAAACCAATATTCTTAGGTGCACTGGAATAAAAAAAAAACAAAGAGACAAGAGGTTTCCATTATAAATAGCTCTTCAATAATTTGGTATTGGTATTTTAGCGCATTTTCTCATTTATGGAAAAAAGGCGCTATTGTGCGCGCTATGTCCATCCGTCTGTCTGTCTGTCTGTCTATTCGTGACTTCACGTTTTCATCGACGAGAAAATGCGCTCTCAGTCACTCACTGCAGTGAGTACTGAGTTGAATTTTTAAAATCATTAATTGCCATTGATTCAGGTCGCTGTGCATGAAACAGCTAAAATTCCCAGCTCTGGTTTCTGGTCACAATCGGCAAGGAGGCCGGGGCGGTTAATCAAAGAAAACATGTAGCAGCGAGTTGCGAGTTCAAGCCCGCAACATGCTGTAAATGTTCTGCAATGTTAAGAATCGACGACAGGCCTACGGCCTAATAAACGCTGAAACCGCTATATTATACTATTATTACTATATTAAAATTAGTCTATCTATAATTTTAAATGATTTTACACAAAATCAACAATTATAAATACATACCATAAAACCTCTCTTTTTATCAAGTAATTTAATCTCTTGAGACACAACAGATATCATCCTCAACTGTTTGTAAACCATGGAAAAGAATCAAGTTCTACTGTAATTCCTCACCAGAACCAAAAAGCCCTCCCGAGCCAGTAGTGCTGAAGAGGCCTGTCGTGTTGGCAGGAGTTGCAAAAGCAAAAGGCTTGTTTTGGGCACCAAAGGCATTGCTGGCGTTGGTGGTGGAACTGCCAAACAAACCTGCGGCATGAACCAAGTGGTTGAGGTGACATTCTTCGTGTCAGGAATAAAATAACATCTTGGATATTTTAAAAATATATCAATTTATATTAATTCAAGAAATCATTGTGAGGCATCAATTCAATAAAAACCCAATTGCAAGTAACAAACACTGATAAAACTAACCAACACAAAGAGATACAATGAGGGACCTGATTAATAACAGCTAAAAAGATAACTCCAGAATTCACGAGTGACAAAAACAACATAGTGTGACATAGACAACATAAAGAAATAACTGTAATCTCACCACTAGATGCAGTGCCGACAGCGTTCTGTGTGCCGAAAAGACTGCTGCCCGTGCTGCTGGTTGCTGTAGTACTGACTGGTTGCTGCTGTCCAAACAAACCACCACCAGTGGTGTTGTTGCTGCTCGGCAAGAAGGAGAAGCCTGTAACACAAGATCATTATTACTTCTAGTAGTCTAGGTGACAGAAATCATCTAAATCTTGTCTACAAACATACATGAGAAAGTTGAGACTATTCACTACTCACACACTATATGATAAGAAAAAAAAATCAACTGATTAACATGCGATTAACCAACCATGAAACATTTTATTTCAATATTGACATGAAACTCTATTCCCCTTCAACAAATAACTGAAATAACTCGTACACACCGCCAGGTTTATCCTGCTGAGTGTTTTGGCCAAATGCAAAACTTCCAGTTGATGTTTCTGTCGTTTGGCCGAATGACGGAGTTGTGGTGCTGCTGTCAAAAAGACCGCCACTGCTGCTAGGTGCAGCAAACCCTGAAGCAAATAAATAAAATAACAACAAGTCTCCGTTCAGCCGTGGTCGAGAGAGGACGCTCGTGCTCGTGGTCCCAAATTTCTAAATTTTTAACTTTTTACTGTGCCGTTTTTGGAACTCTTTTTTCGCATTTTTTTATGATCCGTGTTAGAATAACCGAATATCAGTGAAGTCAGTAAAAGAGGGTGCAAATAGAATAAATCAAGCTTATAGTGAAAGTGTTTTCATTTTAAATAACGCGGACTTGTAGAGTCAGAGAGGGTTGCCGCGAGGGTAACGCCCACGCCCTGGCCCACGCGGGACAATAAGCCTTTGTTCTCGCGCCTACCTCTTCCTAGCCTAGCTCTTCCCATGAACACCTAAGCNTAAGTTTTAGCAGCTAAAGTAGACTTCACCACCCTTCGAAGTCGCTTGGACTGCCAGATTACCGGACATCTCTTCCCATCACTATCAACAATGGAGATGACATGACCTCCTTGTGAACCCCCGTCTTCAAGATTACCGAATGATGGCATCACTATAGTATTCAATTGTAAACTGGTTCTGGTCGCGAAGCTTTGGATAATGAACAACCACAGAACTATTGTACCTTCTTAACGACCTTGTTGGCACGAACAAGATTGTCGACTCGAGCTTTGTCAAAGACAGAGCTCAACTCACAGACGTCAAATGAAATATCTGGACGAGTTTGGGTTGCAATCAAGTTCAGTTGTTCAACCAGTGATCGGTAATCTCTCTTTTCCAACTCCGAGTTCTCTTATCCTTTCTCTTATCGTTCTCATATCCTTACGACTTCTTTTATCCTTTCCCTCCAATTTGACCTCTTTCAACGATCGAATGTAGTCATTTTGGCTTGATCCAATTCAGCCGGCTGAATCTCTTTCCAAGTGCACACAGCTGTACTTCAAGGAATCACGGCTCGTTGTCCAGATGAGGAACTTGTCCTTCAACGAATTGATGACTGTATCTCTGAAGAAGTCCTCTCCAGCCCAGCAAAAATCATCCAAGTGGATGCAGATGATAACTGAAAGCACACCCTCATTGAAGTAAAAAAACAGTGCACTGTCCAAGCTGCAAATCACCATACCCATTTGTAAAAGTACTTTATTTACTCTGAAATACCATGCGCGTACTGCATCACAAAGACCGTAAACCGTTTTGTTCAGCTTCCACAAGAAGCCTTATCAAATTCCATTGGTGGTCGAATATAGATATTACATTCAATTTTTTCGCCTTGCAAGAAAGCTGCTTCAACATCCACAGAGTTACAGACCCAACCGTGTGCGGCGATAACGGTTAGGTCTACTCGGAGCGAAACTCTAGCACATCTAGGTGAATCAGTTCTCACATTTTCAATGTCCTCTTCGAATCCCCGGCAACAAGTCTCACTTTGATGATAGTATGACCATCCTTTTCCTTCTTTGCGATAACCCAACGAACAGAGAGAGATGGCTGTCCAATATTTTCAACCTCCTCAAACACTTCGTTTTCTTTCCAATTGTTCTACGCTGCTTCCTTGGCTTGTCGAGTTCGTGAATCACACACTGTAATGAGAGTCTTTGCTTCCCCTGGCACCGTACGCCATTTTTCAACTTGTCGGCACAAGTCGACCCAATCCACCTCACCATAATCACGTCTGATGTTGTAGCAGCTGTCATATATTCCACCTGCCTTACCAGCTCGACTGTAAGGGAAATTCACTCTTTAGGATTTTAGTTACTTTAATTTCCTTTTGTGTCGTAAGTTTTACGGCTGCTTGTAGGGTTGGCAACCGTGCATTTGATGACGTGGCGTTGCCGGCCTGAAGCCCGTGTTAGTTCTGTTCAGTCGATTGCTGTCACTTGGTAGGGACGTACCTACTGTCACTATTTTCGAGTGTACCTGTAGCGTCCCATTAGGTGGGTGTTAGTGTATTTGCTCTCTACTTTAATGTTCGAGTTGAATATAATGTTTGAATTCTTTGAATGTATTTACGTGTTGTGTTAACTGAAATTGTTCCCTAGTGTAATATTGTCAGTTATGGCTGACCATCATTGTTCGGCAGGACCGATTCTTTGCCCGGCCAGCAAATACGGCTCATAGTTGGGCCGGCCACGACGGTACTTCCCAACTCCAGTACCTGCACCAGTCCAGTCTCAACCCAAGTTCAGTAGCCATTGCTGTGTACCATAAGCCCAGTGCTCATCGGACTGTGTGCCATCATTCAGTGCCCCATCGCGCAAGTGCAGCATCAGTCCAGTGCCTCATTGTTGCTGTGTACTACCATTGCTGTGTACTACCATGGCTGTGTACTGCCATTGCCGTGTACTGCCACTACTGTGTACTACCATTGCTTGTACTACCATTGATGTGTACTACCATTGCCGTGTACTACCATTGCTGTGTACTACCATTGCTGTGTACTACTACCATTGCTGTGTACTACCATTGCTGTGTACTATCATTGCTGTGTACTACCATTGCTGTGTACTACCATTGCTGGGTGAGAACATTGCCATGCATTCCACCCTTCCTTTGCTGTTGTTGACCCTCCCCGCCTCGCTTCACGGCAACGAGGCGGGGCCTCGACCCAGTTCTGAGGCCAGCCAAGTCGGTTGCTCCAGCGGGCTGATTAAATAGGGATTTTTGAAGATATATTTTATATAGAGAGAGAGAGACGTTTCCTATCGTCTCATATCTTTTAAAGTTGGGTAAATCGGAGTGTTTACAGAACTGGATTTATATACATGATTTCCACTATTTAATTGTCTTCCATCTCCCGTGACTGTCAGCGAGCGGTCGGAGTCCTCCTGAGATCTTGAATGGTGTTGACATGATTTTCCGTGTTTCTGCGTCTGTTTCGCTCCTGCCATTTCTTGCGGAACTCCGCCCTCTCTAAAGGGGTGGAATATTCAATAATGAAATAAATTTTACGGGTTGAATGGTCATTTGCAGTGATAACCTTTGTTGACTTGAGCTGCACTTATTTTAACAGTTGCGTCTGCCTAATTTGAAAGCTAGACAAATTTAAAAGAATCAACAGCTAAAGAAGCATCAGATGCTTAGCTGAACTAAAGTGAGTTGCAGGATCAGCTGACCTGTATTGGTAGATCCAAAAAGTGGTTTGGTCTCGGCAAGTTTCAGACCAAAGAGACCCCCAGTGTTGGTGGCAGTGGAGCCAAAGAGACCTCCTGTCGAGGCTGTGTTCTGACCAAAAGCCCCTGTCATGAGGCCACCTCCTTGTCTTGGATTGGCCAGATAATCCAGATAATCAACTCGATGCTCTTCAATAGACTTGCGTTTATACACCTGCACAGAAACATATCAAGCGTCAGCTGTAGAAGAATAGTCTTAAACCACAAAAACAAGTCACACAGCTTCACCATTTTATTAATATTATTATAAGGAAGCATTTATCGTTGCGTCTGGTTCAAACAAACTTCGACGGCACGTTACACAAAATATTAATAGCAGGCGAAAAATAAATAGACAAACTGTTAATAGCACACGCTCGGAAGATGCTCATTCCATCATGGTTCACGCTAGACCCTTTTCCCCGACAGTATTGCCGCATACTTGAGTCACGTTGTAGCTAGCCCACGCCACGTAGGCTACCGGCGCTCCCTGAACCAATCAGCGCTCAGTACAAAGCCATCTCACGACCGAACAAGTGTGACGTCACAACCACTCGGCAACACCAGCAGACCCATCAGATATTAACAAAACGAAAAGATGGGAACGACTAAAACGACTAAGCACTAGGTTCTTAGGCTCTACGAAATAGTTCCGTCTGTAGGCGTCGACGAACACCTGCAACGAAGGTGTCCGGTGTCAATGGGGCGTCTCATTATAATTGTATGTAATTTTGATATAATATTCTCTTGACCTGATAGAGATTGACGACATAAATCAGCATCTGCTGACAGTCTGCTGCTCACGGACAGTCAGAGGAGATGGAGGACAAGTAATTAGTCGGAATGATGTCCGTAGATCAAGGCCTGTAAATAATGTAGGAAGTAACCGCATACATCAAAGTGAAAGTGCACAAAAAGTTTTAAAATGTTTTTACGCGAACTCGGATTCCGTTTTGAACAAGAAAAGTGAACTGTTAACTGTGATCGCAAACGAGTGTATAGACATTATTTGTATTACAGAAACACTCCCTAAAAATCACGGGGGGAAAATTGTACCTGTTGAATTTCAGCTGCCAGGTTTCGATTGTTTTCATAACTTAAATGAAGAGCAGTATTGACATGAAACTCTATTCCCCTTCAACAAATAACTGAAATAACTTGTACACACCGCCAGGTTTATCCTGCTGAGTGTTTTGGCCAAATGCAAAATTTCCAGTTGATGTTCCTGTTGTTTGGGCAAATGATGGAGTTGTGGTGATGCTGCTAAAAAGACTGTCACTGCTGCTAGGTGCGGCAAACCCTGAAGCAAATAGCAACAATCATGAAACCATTTAAATTTTCACACATCAACTATGACTGTATTGTATGCATGAATTAGAATTAATATCTACAAGCAATTTTAAGTGCATGACAATTATAACAAATTTAAAGAAATTGGACTTTTAACCTTACTACCGGTACAAGTAATAAATTTAACAAGTTGAAGAGTCATTTGCAGTGATAACTTTTGTTGACTTGAAGAGCTGTAATAATAATACAGCTACTAACGCATTAGATGCTTCTTAGTAATAAAGTGAGTTGCAAGATCAGCTGACCTGTATTGGTAGATCCAAAAAGTGGTTTGGTCTCGGCAGGTTTCTGACCAAATAGACCACCAGTGTTGGTGTCAGTGGAGCCAAAGAGGCCTCCTGTAGAGGCTGTGTTCTGACCAAAAGCCCCTGTCATGAGGCCACCTCCTTGTCCTGGACCCTTAAAATTGGCCAAATAATCTTCTACTAAAAGCTTTTCAATAGACTTGCATTTATACTCCTGCACAGAAAGATATCAAGTGTCAGCTGCTGATGAATAGTCTTAAAACAAGTAGGGTTTACTCAGGAGATAAGGTAAAGACAAAGGTGTATGCATCAAGTGAAATGGGCCAAGTGAGCAATGTAGTCAAGTTACAATGTAGGCTTACTCTAGATACAAAAGGATGATGAGACCAAAAATGGTTAACCCGCACCGTATGGCATCTGAAGTTCAACTGACTGTGGCTAGCCAGCCATTTGGTTTGGCTGACTATAGTTTGTGTCTATACGTAAATATTGGGGTCACGGTACACAAGTGATTTGGAATTATAACTTAGTACATGAGGTGCAATTTTGTATTTCGATATCCTCAAATTGTAAGGTGTACCACAATTTTGTACAAATTGATTGTAAAGCATGTGGGCGAGTGTCGATCATTGGGCATTGGTCAGAGATGCACTTTCATTTTTTCTAACAAGCATACTGGCAACTTTCTTCTCTGGCATACTGGCATTAGTGGCAAACATCCCAAAATGCACCTCTGGCACACATGCCGCATGTTTGCACCTTCCAGACCGTGACAAATGGAATGCCGATGTTAGGTCAAGATAGCTGATGAAGATCCTCAAAGGATGTCAATGTAAAGTTGAGGTGGCTGATATAAATCTTAAAATGTCAATATCTTGAGCTAGAAGGCCCTACTCTACAGCCTGGCAGTTGGCACCGTGGCTCAGGGGCCTCAGCCAGCCCATCCACTCCCAGTCTCCCACTCTGTCTCAGATCTTTTTCTGTATTATCACCTCAGACACCTCTTAGCATAGTGCAAACCAGTGATTTTTTTGAATCAGTTCATTTTCACAACACTTTTCTCTAACTTCACTTCTTGTTATTTGTCTGTCTGCTACAAATATAATCAAAATTTAACACACTTCTACTTATCCTATCGATCTGAAATTTTGCACACTTGCGTAAAGTTGAAGACAATGCATGAATCAAATGAAAAAAAAAATAATTTTATAAATAAAAAATTGTTCTTTCAATATTAAAAAAACTGAAAAAATAATTTTGTCAGCTCTTATAATTGAATTTGATATTTGAAACACTTTTACCTGTCCAACTGATATTTTGAACACTTGTGTGAAGTTGGAGGCAATGCAATGAATGCATGAATCAATTGACAGAATAAATAAATAAAATTCTATTTATTAAAAAAATTGAAAAATTAATTTTTTTAATATTTGAAAATAAAATTAGAAATTCATTGTACATCTGTAACATTGGAAACACTGGATTCTTTAGAAGTGTTGTCTTTAAAAGTAATTTTCAAACATATTTTATTATTTATCTCATTTACTCAAGATTTAAACTAATATTTCATGTAGGGTAAACGCACCATATTCCGATATCGTGGGTAATTCCAACACTTCTCAACTTTTTCCTTGATATTAAGCTTTGTCTTAGTTCCACGCATTCGTTGATGGTTGAAATAGTGATGTCATACTATTGCGCGCCATACTATTGCCAAAACACTAGGTCTGGGCCATCTGGCGGGAAAATGTTAAGATCCTCATCCTCAAAGAGACAGTGCACATCACCCAGTGAGAATATTAAAAAACATGTCAAAGTTGATAGTTGACCTTGCTCTACCAAATAGTGATAAACTGTTTGTGTAGAAAGAATATTATCAAGTGATTTTAAGTGGTAGAATATTATGGTTTGAGACTTTTAAGTAAGTCTGAATATATTAGGAATCCTTCATGTATACTTGTATTTGCTGATTTTAAGTGGTCAATAAATTAATAGATGATCAAGTTAAGCGAGGGTTTTAGACACATAAAAACCAATTCCGACACAGCTTGGAATTAGACACACACAGCTCGTTCCAAGCTGTGTCCAAAAATTAAAATTTTCCTCATTAAAAGCTTAATAGCTCTTAATTAAAAGCTTAGTTAAAAAATTAATTTCTTAATTAGGCTCATTCAGAGCTATGTTGTATTCCGATACAGCTCACGCAGGGCGTTAGAATTCCAACACAGGGCATCAGAAATTCAGAATTACAAATTAATAGAGTTTGAAGAGCTGTCAGAATTAGTCTCACAATATGCCAAATTTAGTCACACACAGCGTTGGAATTCAGGGATTTTGTAGCCTGTAGGTTTGAATTCTAAAGGCTTTTAAATAAATATGGCAACAGTTTGTGACGTTTCATCATTGCTGGCGCTTAGTGTGGTGTTTTGAGATTGACGTAAAGCAATCTGAACTCGAGTTGCGCATACTGTGATATTTTTATAGCCATTCATTTCTTGCTACGTCCTCAATGTGTCGGAATATGGTGTGTTTACCAAACTTTACCCTAGGCCATCATGGTGATCATACTGGTATCCATAAATAATAGCCTACTTTGCTGGTCTACTTATAGGAGTTAAAATTGAACTTTAAGTTTAAGGAGAGTCTAAAATACTCTCTGCTTTGCCACTTTGCCTCTTAGGATTTAGGAAGGCATACCACTTGTGTACTGTCCAAGTCCAATCATAATGACAGAGCAGAGAGTTTTTTAAACTCTTCTTCAACTTCAAGTTTATATTTGAGCCCTATAAGGCTATATAAGTAGACCAGTAAAGTATCTTGGATACCAGAATTATCATACATAAGAAATTGGTTAAAATCTTGAGTAAATGAGGAAATTAAAAATGAACTGATGCTAAAAAAATCATTAGTTTGCCAGTTGCCACTATGCCAGTGTCCATACTCCAGTCACTCCAGACAGTCTCCAGTGTCCACCTCTTTCATCTCTTTGTCCATTTACTATAATGAATTCAATCATCTTATTTTGCTCTTACTCAACAATATGGTTTCTCATAGTTTTTGTTCATCTCTGTTGTTCTTCACTAACATCATGACATGTAGGCTAGTCATGGTCTGATTTTTAAACATTGTGACAAACCAGAAATTTTTAAAAATCCATTCAGTTTTAATTTCAACATTTACTCAAAATTTAAACCAATATCTTATGTATGATATTGATATGCTGGTATGAGGTAGGTATCCATGATATGTTACTGGATAATGGTCTACTTATACCGTCAAACGGGGCAACTCGGTACTGGCGGGGCAACTCGGGACGCACCTCTGACACGTCGTAAAACAGTCATAGTAGCGAAACTAATTGGAATATTGCTAAACTAAATATAGTGGCCTAAACAATGGGTGGGAAGACGTGTGAACGTGCCGAATTGTTTTAGTACGTGGTTTTAATTTTTTGCGATTGTCAAATTTTTATATTTTTTCTTAGGACAGCTGTGAATATGGTATTTTTGAACTTTTTTGTTAACATAAGAGTGTGAACTTTTAATTTTTTCGATGCTAGTAAAAGTT